ATTTCATTACATTTGTTGACATGTTTATGCAATAATATTTCAGCTGCTGTGGGGGATGAATTTAGAGAAGTGGTAGTTGAAACTGGAATGTCAGAGAAAAACTTTTCAAAAGCATTAGCCACATCTTCATGACTAGTTACCAATTTATCATCTATTTTTAATGAGAATTCTTGGTGGCTATTTCTGACTTTTCCACTTTGAAGCATTAGCCAGACTAACTGTTGTACAATAATACAATATATCATTTATAGGTGTATACCTATATGATGCATTTTGGTTGTATGAAATAGTCGTAACCAAACCAATAAATACATAATATCCCGCACTTATCACAACATCAAAACATAAAAGACACTTGAAATATTGCGTGTGTTTTTGATAAGTGAAAATTCCGATCTAACGATTTCAATTTAAGGTTTTGGAAATTTCAAAAAAAAAACGGCTACTTATCATGTAATCATATTTGTTTTGACACATGCACACTTGAAATTCAAATTCGTTACCAGACAAGGTCTAAGAGCTTGATTGATGTGTTCACTGGCTTAGATAATTCCCGGAAGATGTTGCCGGCCGACTCCTTTACAGCTTTACTATTTGCGGTGTGAACGAAGAATTCGGGGGTCAGGGAACACCGGGTAGGCTGTGAGGTCGTCCACCCATCTAAGCAATAAATAAATATAAAAATATAATATTTCAATTGATATGCCAATTGTAACCAAGGAACCAAGAATAAAGAAGGAGATTAAGAAAATAGCAAAAATGGAGCGCGCAGATTCCCTAAAGACCATTTACGAGCAACTGGAAACAAATGAAAGTCAAAAATGTATATATAAGCTCGCTAAACAGTGCTATCGCAGCACAAGGATCCCGCTAGATGTAGGACTGTTAAAGAAACAAGTGATGAGCAACTGTACAAGGATAAGGATGTCCTATCAGCCTGGCATCTATATTATCAACAGCTACTGAACCCTACTCAAGCTGCTACACAGCTCACAAACGGCAAGGGATCTTAAATTCAAACTCAAGGGATCTTTAAGACCGTAATAAGGCCAGTTCTTATGTATGGGCGACAACCCAAAGGGGCATGAATACCATTCAAGTTGCTGAAATGAAGATGCTAAAGTGGATGTGTGGCGTGACCAGAAATTTGGCCCTACCACTCAACCTCCACGGTTGGAGACCTAGAGGTAGATCCAAGACGAGGGGGAAAGATGTAGTGCTGAAGGACACAAGGTCATCCAACGTTGCTGACGAGGATGTCGAAGACAGACGAAGTGGAGTAGTAGTATAAGGAAAGCTGACCCTACCACCGTGTAAGAAAAATAGCTAGGAAGAGAGAGACATGCAAATTCTAACCTCTGACGTATCTAGTGTACATGGTCTTAAGTTGCACACAATTGACACGCAAACATACAGTTTTTAGCACAACTAATTAAGCAACGAACAGACAGACCAAGTTATTACAGAATTTTAATTGGTGATAGCAATAAGCTGCGAAATGAGTATCACGATAACGATCATTGGGACGATAATTCATTCTAGTCGTTATCATTGTAATTAATCAATTATCCGTATTAAGATTCATATCGTATTAAGATTCAGAACACGTGCCTTATTAACATGCATAGGTTGTAATTCGTTTGATTCTATCGGTTTGAAAATGATTGTTGAAGGATTATCAGGGTGGCTGACCCCAAAGCTGACCCAACCACCCCGAGTAAAAACAGAATTTAGCCGAATCACCGCCGAAGCCCGCAACGACGACAAAAAACAGTGCTAAATTGTTAGAGGAAGTGTGCGCATGCTTTTTTTCGTTGCAACAGTTGTTTGTTTAAGTTTTCCCTGACGCGATGACTTCACATCACGGGAGTATGTAGCTATGCTTCGTGCGTACTTTTTGAGTGGAGAAAACGCGAGTGCAGCTGTACGTATGTACAGGGAAGACACCCAAACGCTCGACAGCCAAATGTGCGAACCGTGGTAAATGCTTACCAGCGTTTACTTGATCACGGTTCACTCCACGCACCGTCACATAGTCAAGAACGAGGAAGACCGGCGTTGTCACAAAATCCGTACGACGATGTACTAGCGTATTTTGAAGAGGATCCCCGGCGGAGTACAAATGACGCTGATCGACGGCTTAACATCAGCCAGTCCTGTGCCTGGAAGATTGTTAATAAGGCTGGATTACATCCATATCACTACAGGAAATCTCAAGAATTAACGCCCATGAACTTCTTTTTGTGGAGTGAAATTAAGAGACGTGTGTACAGAAGCGAGCCAATTAGGCTCGAATGATTAAAACAGCGCATATTGGACGCTATTCACGAAGTGAAAAGACAGAGAAGCGTACTTCTGTCGTTAAAAACAATTTAATGAAACGAGCCCGTCTGTGTATTGACAATGGTGGTGGACATTTCGAAGGACAATTGAAATACTTGTAAGTTTAGTAAATAATACCTATGTAAATAATTATTGTAAATAGCACCTGATTCTAACTTCACAAATATGCCAAAAAATTTTTTTTTTCTTTTAGTACAGAATACCTTATTTTATTTTGATATTTGTTTATTGTTTTCTAATCACATAAGTATTTAATTAATTGTAAAAAGGTAATTTTTTCGGTCCTAAGCCCGGATGAATATGAAGAAGAGGTTAGAATTTAGAAAATTAAATAAAGTACCAACTACATCACATGTTCTTTTGTTTAATTTTATTGTCTAAGGCTACCTACGTCACAAGTGCGACAGTACGAATGCGAATGAGTAAGATGGAATACCATCAATGAAGTTCAATGAACTAATGGAGGGATTGTAAAATAATATGTCCATGATTTCAGTGAGATTTTTACAATAAACAAATGATAATAATTTTGCTATTTAAAGGTATTATGAGACTCTTCCGTCACATATATGATAATAATGTCTTCCCTAATAAGTCCTTCAAATTTTTGTGCTAGTTAAAAAATAATGGTGTATATGTAGGTAACATAATATGTCGTTATGTAGATCTAAATGTTGAACAAGTCAAGAAAGGAGAGACAATAGACAAGGCAGATGCTAGACTCTTGAAGTCGTCGTGGCCTAACGGATAAGACGTCCGGTGCATTCGTGTTGAAGCGATGCACCGGTGTTCGAATCCCGCAGGCGGGTACCAATTTTTCTAATGAAACACGTACTCAAGAAATGTTCACGATTGACTTCCACGGTGAAGGAATAACATCGTGTAATAAAAATGAAACCCGCAAAATTATAATTTGCGTAATTACTGGTGGTAGGACTTCTTGTGAGTCCGCGCGGGTGGGTACCACCACCCTGCCTATTTCTGTCGTGAAGCAGTAATGCGTTTCGGTTTGAAGGGTGGGGCAGCCGTCGTAACTATACTTGAGACCTTAGAACTTGTATCTCAAGGTGGGTGGCGCATTTACGTTGTGGATGTCTATGGGCTCCAGTAACCACTTAACACCAGGTGGGCTGTGAGCTCGTCCACCCATCTACGCAATAAAAAATAAAAAATATGCGAAATTCTTCTTTCCCCGCATCTATACTTCGCTGTGATCTTTGGTATATTTCCATAAAAGAGATGAGACAGTCTTATTTGCGTTAACTAAATTAAGTACTACGATTCGCTTGTTAATCAGAAAATATCCTTGAATGTACACACTACATGCAAATGATGTCCTGATAAAAATGACAGTTCTTAAATTATTAAATCGATAATTTTGTCAACTACAAAATTATTAAATTAAATTAATTAAATTTCGGGTCTTATACCATTACTCAATTACTTTGATATAAATTGCAATTAATTTTATCACGATTAAAAAAAATGCTGCGTGTAGTTACGAAGCATTTTATGTTGATACCATACAATAGCGAGGTATAATTATAGATTTTTTTTATTTTTTTTATTGCATACACCGATGGACAAGCTCACAACCCACCTGGTGGTAAGTGGTTACTGGTAAAATACAATTGTACGCTAAAAATTTGCTCCTCCCTATACCCCGGTACTGGAAGGATGTTTCAGATTCCTCGTCGAATAAAACACCAAGTCTTTATCCCACATTATGCGAAGTCGACGCAGCTTATAATATTATTAAGCTGCATAGAGCTTTGGCATGTTTTACGAACGGCCGCCTACCTATCGTCAACCCTACTTGGGCTTTATCGTCATTGGTATATCGACTGCAACGTGTTGTAGGGAGTATTTTCTGTTTCTTTTTTGGTGTTTCTTAACTTCATCTTTCATGACTTTTTGGTTTACATTTTATTAATATAAACATTTGCACTAAAATTTAGATTATCAACTGCCAAAAAGATAATAAAAATCACCCCGTTTATCGCCAACTAAGACGCCCGATGCTTTCATTAGAATCTTTCTAATCCTTGTTTTATTTACAGAAAAAAGAAGAAAAATTGTGGACCACATTGATGCAGGTAGCTGTACCCTTCTTTATAGCTGGCTGCGGTACCATCGGAGCTGGTTTGGTGCTCGGCAAAGTTAGGGTAAGTTCCTCCAACACATTTAAAATAAGTTCAGCTAAGACAGATCGTATATTTACAACAGGCAAGGTCTAAACTATCCCTCTGGCATTGCTGATCCCCACAAGTAACAGTAACCCCTTATTACCTTATTATTTCTACCGCAAAGCCATTTTTATTCCGGTCTAAAAATTAGGGCAGTCGTATACTAATGGGACTTGCATCTCATGTCGTGAAAGCAGCGGGATTTCCATTGTCATATCTAATGCCCACGGTAATCACTTAATACTAGATAAAGAATAATCACCCAACGGAATAAAAGAAAGCGCAATTAAAATGTCCAAAAGAAAAATTCTTGATTAGGTCACTTTACAGCACCGGTGTGCTAAAAAGTATGTATTTTCCAGGATTGGGATGTTTTTATAAACATATCGGCCATTTTCGTTCTTGTGCCCTCACTGTCAGGACTAAAGGGTGAGTTTAAGAAAAAATTTATGCTATTTTATTATTTTCTAGACGCCAGTACAATATGCGACATTACGAATATTGTCTCCATGATGACGGTCGATTGAAACATTTTTTCGTGCATTACCAACAAAGGAGCTATTAGGCTGCCTTATCGTAATTTGCCACCGTTGCTAATGGACATCGGCCATTCCAACTGGCTTTCTCGGTTATCTTGGTTCTGGCAGTAACTAAACAAGTTATATCTGATACAGGTTAGGTGCTTACCGTCAAGAAATTAAAGTCTTTGTTTAACCAACCTGCTTGTATCAGAGTAAAATAACACTACCTCGACTCTCCCCTGCATATCGGAAGTTGACCAGTGAATTCACCCGAGAACGGGTTGCGGCGCACACTGCGATTTTCAACATTAATTTACCAGTTTCCACGGTTTTTTTTATTGCTTAGATGAGTGGACGAGCTCACAGCCCACCTGGTGTTAGGTGGTTACTGGAGCCCATAGACATCTACAACGTAAATGCGCCACCCACCTTGAGATATAAGTTCTAAGATTTCAAGTGTAGTTACAACGGCTGCCCTACCTTTCAAACCGAAACCCATTACTGCTTCACGGCAGAAATAAGCAGGGCGGTGGTAAATGGACTACGAAACTACTTTATAACTGCTGAAAAGTGTCATAAGCAGTTCAAAATAAAATTAAATAGTTATATATAAATTACGGTGCAAGATATTGGGTTATTAAGTGAAACTTATTTGTATGATGGGGAAATGATAACAGTTCCTAGCGAAGCCAAGGTTCATGACGTAGACCAAGCTACTGGGTAAAGAAGCCACTGTTCCCTGGACCTTCGTCAAATTGTCAAGATCCGCACACGATCGTTAGCTCACAAAACACATGTCATTAACTTCAATAGCTCTAGAGATTTCCACACAATTATTTAAAATGTAGGATAATTATCTGCCATTGTCTGTCATCTTTATTTTAAACTTCGCTGATAAATAGAGGATTTATTTTCTTGTTGTATTTTATTATTTTTTTATCATTATGCGTTTATTAGTCGTAATTAATTTTGCTTAATTATTATCGGTCCTTTATATAGATGAGTATTTGGAATTGGAATGCAAATACTAGAATCAGATTGCAAAATAGGTTTTATATAATTTGGTTGAATTTTTGACGTGACAACGTCTTATAATTCGCTGCACGCACGAAAAAACATGACTCATTGAGGCGTTCCACTGAAGGCTTGAAGTGCAAGCGAGAGCGCGCAACGAACGACAAAGAGGCACAATCGGCCTCCGCGTTCGGCAGCGTTCGACATCTGTCTCTCTCCTACTTGAGTGAGCGATGCATCCGCGTGGACAGCTGCTATACAATAATACATTTACATGTTTTCGTCAAATATGATGTTCAGTGAAAAGTGAATGTGGTGTCAATTGTCCATACAAAATATCTACCAAACAAATAAAATTAAAATTTTGTTTTGAAAAATGAAACCATTCCATCAGTATTTTCTTATGACGTTGTCACGTTCAACTATCGTAAGTAAACCGACTTTACAGACAACCGATTTTTGTTTTAGGAAGGTGCAGGTTTGGTACTCCGGTCTTTTTATACAACGAATTGAATTTTTACGCTGTGGTTGAATAATAGCCCCTTATTATCTTACCAAAATATTGGTGGGAGACAATGATTTAAGCCCACATATGGAGGTATCACTTTACCCCTTACTGCAACCGCGAAACAATCACATATTACCCTTTCGACAAGCGGAGTAATCGCTCCAATACAATTGAGGCTCGAACCTCATGTCTCAAGATGAGTGGCGGTTTTTGCCCTGTGATATCTATAAACTCGGGTAATTATCATCGGCCGTGACCATCAAATCGTAAGATATTTCATTTCTGTTGGAAATCGTAAACTAAATAACATAAAGTCAAGATCAAACATGATAGTATTAATGTTATTGTTTTGATAAGCGATGGAAGACGCGGATATTTACCTTCAGACGTGTCTTTTAGGAAGACTTTGCGTGATATGAGCTATGATAAAAGCCTGTTTAGTATTTTCTAAAGTTTTCCCGAGTCTTACATGTGATTAATACTACTCTTTCAGTTTAATCTCAGGTTTTATTATTTTCTTTTTATAATTTCCGATGTTTTGAATGCACAGAACGGACGACAAAACAAGGTTCTTAAGTATGATATGGCATGTAAATACTATATGCTCTGTGGACTAAAGAAGTTTATCGATGTTTAAACCCACTGAGTTTCTCGCTAGATCCTCTGAGTAAATCGCGATTCTGATCCGGTGGTAGATTCTGCGAAGCAATGCTCTTGCTAAGGCCAGTTTTAGAACACTCCCTCAGTTTGAGGCTTATGAGCCCCCCTACCAGCCACAGCGTAGCTGAACTAGCCCTACCTAATAGGCCAATAGGTAGGGAAAAACTTCGATATTCGAATACTGTGCTACCTGCCATGTATTTCTTAAAAATATATATATATTTTTTCACGTTTCTTGGCAATGATATAACAGTATCTTGAGTTTTGGCAGTGGGTTTCATTTTACGACAATACAGTGTCACCTGCTAGCGCTTGAGAGATGAACGATGAAAGATGAAAGAGATGAGAGAAACGAAAAGCATATCTTGGTGTGCATCCCTAGCCATTTGAACTATTACCTTCCCCCTAACATTAAAGCATTTTCACCGGTCTTTGAGTATGGTCTGTTATTAATGCAAAACAAATTGTTAATCTAATCTAAATGAAACGATAATCGTTAATTTTAATGCACTTAAGACTTGGCTTTTGATTGGAGGAGTACATCATTAATAATTTCCACGGGTCAGTGACCCTTCAGTACAGTTTGGCCCATGAGATTGTCTACATAATATAAGGTCTAATTCCTTTTTTTTCTTCCAAAGGTAACCTGGACATGTGTCTCGCATCTCGACTGTCAACGCAGGCGAATTTAGGCAACATGGACTCCACGAAGGAGGTCATCTCGATGGTCGTTGGAAACATATCATTGGTTCAGGTCAGTTCCAATGTTCATGGTTACCAGATATCCGAAAAGGGATCTTTAGAAAGTTGGAGTAACTACTGGTGATAGGAGCATTGCAATGATAGGTATAGCCACTCTGCTTATTTACTTTGCGAAGCAGTATCCGTTTTGACGCAGTGGTTGGAAGAACTGCTTTATCTTCTTTACCGTTTCCTCACTAATGAAGACCGTGAACAGATATGATTGGTCTCCATTTACTTCTTTTATTTATTTATTGCTTAGATGGGTGGACGAGCTCACAGCCCACCTGGTGTTAAGTGGTTACTGGAGCCCATAGACATCTACATCGTAAATGCGCCAACCACCTTGAGATATAAGTTCTAAGGTCTCAGTATAGTCAAAACTGCTGCACCAACCTTCAAACCGAAACGCATTACTGCTTCACGGCAGAAATAGGCAGGGTGGTGGTACTTACCCGTGTGCTCACAAGAGGTTCTACCACCAGTAAAAAAGTTCCTGTGTCTGTGAACTCTGGCGAGGTATAAAATGATAAGCTTGTATATGTTCCATCAGGTTCAAGCTATAGTGGCTGCGACTGTGGTCTCCATATTCGCCATCGTGGTGAACACGATCACGGACCGCGCCATCTTCGGGCCCTATGTCCTCCTGCTGGTCGCGTGCGCCGTCTTCACTGCTACCACCACTTGCTTTGTGTTGGGTAAGTTGATCGCATGGGCAATGCTATAAGGGAGAATGCTTTTTTTGAAAAGGAGAGGCTGGAGGGTACTTCCACTAAGCTACCTTGGATTCGACGAACCTGCAGCCTGAATGATGAATGAACGATGATAAAGCCTGAACCTGATGATGAGTGATCATCGTGGCTCATGGAAATGAGTTACATTCCGCTGCCTCCGCTGAATACTATTTGTATGCTTACCTAAAGTGATAAGAGAGCTTTTTTTATTTGCTTAGGTTGGTAAACGAGCTCACGGCCCACCTGATGTTAAGTGGTTACCGGAGCCCATAGACATGTACAAACGTATTTATTATATAATATAAATATGTATATTAATTTAAAATCGAACTGCCGAAAATCTATATTGCTCACAAAAATATCACACAATACAAACACAACTAGAAAAACTAAGATAGATATAGTTTGTTAAAATAATATCATGTAAACATAAATTTAACTAAATCTGTTACGCTCAATAAACAGATATTGCGAATTATTTTTTTATTGCTTAGATGGGTGGATGACCTCACATCCCACCTGATGATAAGTGTTTACTGGAGCCCATAGACATCTACAACGTAAATGCGCCACCCACCTTGAGATTTAAGTTCTAATGTCTCAGTATAGTTACAACGGCTGCCCCACCCTTCAAACCGAAACGCAATACTGCTTCACGGCAGAAATAGGCAGGCAGGGTGGTGGTACCTACCCGTGCGGATTCACAAAAAGTCCTACCACCAGTTAAAGTTAAATTATTAAAAAAAATTTTTACCACGCTTTCATTAGCTTCGCCTGTGTTAAACTTAACCTTAACTAATACATCTGTACGAGTAGGTGGTAGGACGTCTTGTGAGTCCGCACGAGTAGGTACCACCGCCCTGCCTATTTCTGC